ATGATTGTTTCCTTATTACTTTTACTATGATTATTAGCAATAGTGATATTAGTGGTGTTCTGAATACTGGTGATACCAGGGGTAGTATCCTCATTGTTACCAGTAGTGGTAATAGTGGTAGCAGTAGTAGCAGTAGTAGTAGTAGTCGTCGTAGTAGCCGTCGTAGTAGTAGAAGTAGTAGTAATAGTAGTAGTAGTAGTTGTTGTTGTTGTAGTAGTAGTGGTAGTAGTAGTAGTAGTCGTAGTAGTCGTAGTAGTAGTAGTAGTAGTGGTAGTAGTAGTAGTAGTAATAGTAGTAGTAGTAATAGTAGTAGTAGTCGTAGTAGTCGTTGTACTCGTAGTAGTAGGAGTCGTAGTAGTAGTAAGCGTAGTAGTAGTCGTAGCCGTAGTCGTAGTAGTTGTGGTAGTAGTAGTAGTAGTAGTAGTAGTAGTGGTGGTGGTAGTAGTAGTAGTAGTAGTAGTAGTAGTAATAGTAGTAGTAGTAGTGGTAGTAGTAGTAGTAGTAGTGGTGGTGGTGGTGGTGGTGGTAGTAGTAGTAGTAGTACTAGTGGTAGTAGTAGTAGTAGTCGTCGTCGTCGTCGTCGTCGTCGTCGTCGTCGTCGTCGTCGTCGTCGCCGTAGGAGTAGGAGTAGGAGTAGGAGTAGGAGTAGGAGTAGGAGTAGGAGTAGGAGTAGGAGTAGGAGTTAGGAGTAGGAGTAGGAGTACGAGTAGGAGTAGGAGTAGTAGTAGTAGTAGCAGCAGCGGTGGTGGCAGTGGTATGCGTCATTATTAGTATTCGCCTTATTCTGAGTATGCGTATTGTTCTTCGTATTCGTGCGAATAACATACTGAATACTTATATTGTTAGTAATGTAAGAATTCCTCCTCTTCCTCCTCCTCCTCTTCCTCCTCATCCTCCTCTTCTCCTCCCCCTACCCCTCCCTCTCCTCCTCCTCCTCCTCCTCCTCTTCCTCCTCCTCCCTCTCTTCCTCCACCTCCTCCTCCTCCTCCTTCTCCTCCTCCTCCTCATCATCATCATCACCATCATCATCTCAAATTCTCGGCACGAGAGCATTTTGCCCTCGGCCAGCCCTCGCCTCCACGTGGCACTTGAGGGACATCGAGTGGTGCAGGGCACACCAGCTACCGGACCCCTTGGTTGACTAAGAAGGGCATCGAGTAATCATGTCAAGTTTTGTTTCTCGACCTTGGAGCCGCTGCCGCGGCTGTGGAAGGAGCGATTGGAATGACACCCTGGGAAAAATGATCGAAGGTGCACCCAATCTTCCAGGATTGTGGAGCTCCATTTTCCAGGGTCGAAATCTCCGAATACGAAGTCTGTTTCCTTTGCCGCCGGTGGCCCTGGCCCCAATCCCGAGAGATCGGAGTCCCCACGGCCCATCCGCAAGCCAGGGAATGCCATCACTGGGCCCGCCGCCGCCATGTTGTCCGCGCCCGAGCACCTCGCGCGCGCCGTCCAGGTGGTGTCCGACCCGATGATCAAGGCAACGATCCAGCAGGAGCTCAACAGGCTTGAGGCTCAGACTCAGGCTGCGTTCGGCGCCCAGGATTCGGCGGCTGAGCGCGTGCGCAAGGCCAGTGCGGCTTGGCGCGATGCAGACACCAAGCACTCGCAGGCCGTGAGCGCAGTCATGCGCCTCAGGACGGCGGTCGCCGCGGCTGAAGCCAAGGAGCAGCTCGCCGCGGTCGCGCTCGCGACAGCCACCGAGGCCAACTGGGCCTGCAAATATAGCTCGACAAGGTCGGTCGGGATCTACCTCTGAGCTCCTCTTTCTGCTTCCTCCGCTTAACTCGATGCGTCTGCGCTGACCTTGGCAGTTCGCGCTGGGGGCCTTGCCGGCGCGGCGGCCGCTGGTCGCGAGCCGCGCGGGTTTCTCTGCGGGCATCTCCTCGCTTGGCGCAATTCACAATCGCGCGTCCGCGCGCCCTCGCGCGTCGAAAATCTCCGCGCTGGCGACGCGGTCCAGCTCGAGGACCCCGCATTGTGTTCAAAGAGAGAATATGCCCCGCTGTTCCCGTGGATTCCACATTGCCCCAGTGCGGACGCGAGGCGTTCAATCGCGTCGTTTGACATTCCCATCATCTCTCGGTGCCCAAGCGCTTCGGATCGGACGTCGTCAGCTCGCCGATAGCTGCGCACGTTGGACTTGCGATTAGCAGTCAGGCCGCCTTGCCCTCGATAGTCTCCTTCGCTTTCGCACACGTTGCCTCGCATTTGAAATTCCAGGGATTACCGTGTTCATCGCGCGTCGCAAATCGAGCCCATCGCCAATCCTGGTGCAAGCCCCACTTCCCTGCCGCGCCGGCAACCCGCGCCGGCGAGTAAACCTCCGAAGCATGCAATTGCACATCGTGCTGGCCATTGCCGCATGGCCGCGCTGCCATTCCGACCTCAACGACCTGCATCATGACATCCAAGTCGACATTGAGCAACAGCTCCACAACCTCGGCGTCGGACCCCATCATGTTTATCCTGGCGCGCACCTCATGCGCGTTCATGCTATCCTTCACTTCGTCTGCAAGGTCTGGTTTATTTCTGTGCATATTCTCATCACCCGGCCCTTCACGAACCTGGACCTCAGAACCATAATTCAACATTGCCCCATACTCCTGTTCCACCTCTACGACTTCTCTGGCCCTCTCGTCGTCGTCGGGCTCCTCCGCCTTTCTCCTCGCGGCCGCCGACCCTGGCGGGATAACAACGACTGGTCGCGCGTCGTCATCGCCCCCACAGATGGAGCGAGACTCGGTCCATCCAATTCACGGTCCCCGTAGCTCTCTGTCACTTTTTTTTCCAATCGTCGGCCACGTCCCCCATCTCACATATGCCCTGATAGAATACGCGCGTTCGTCTCTCAATATTCAGCCGTTTGGGAAGCCCCACTCCTATGTCTCTAGGCGCGCACATATTGGTTATGGGTTCTCGTGTTGTCGCAGTCCTGCCTTCCAGTCGTCAGACGAATCGCCTGCATGGATCACGATGACCGTCAAAGAGAGTGACCCTGAACGGCCAAAGTAATGAGCATGCATTCTTGCAATTCTGAAGGGACTCTACCAGCGCACTCCACTGCTCCAGCTGTGACGCCGAGCCGTTAACCTTCTTGGTTCGTTTCTGGATCAGTGGCCAGGATCATGTTGCGTGACAGCGAGACTCCTGTAGCGGCCGACTACCATGCATGTACTTTATGGTACGCCATGAAGCTATCTCCCACGTGAAAGCCCTTGAGTTGTCTTCGTGGCTCCGTCCCTCCCTATTTGTCACTTACCAATTACCAGAGATCCTCGGCCAACTTCGCGTAATAGTCTTCATCGGTGTCGGACTATCCTTCTACAGTCGTCCCGTTATCTTGGCTGTTGAGGCTTTGGTTATTCGCTCAGGGTTAACATCCTGCTCATAATATGCATCAACTAGTCCTCATCGTCCTCGGTCACCGCCGTAATCATAATTCCAAGTATGTTGTTCAAATATTTCAGGGTTCTCCGATGACCGTGCTTCACTTGGGCGAGCGCGCGCAGCAATTGCTCGCTCCACTTCTTGAGGTTAGTCCTATCCCCCGAAAACAAACTAAACTGTCGAGCGGCCTTGTAATCGCTCACTGGTTTATTCCCACCTCATCCAGCCGTCGTGCCTCCAGGGGGGTGTATAGCTTCGGCGATTTGAGTAACACGCTCCGATGCGTTCGTTAGACGATGGGGTTCTGTTCGAACGTTTTCCTCACAATTGTTGAACTGTCCCTCGCAGTACATGTTGCGGCTGATGGCCGAAATCGTAAGAAGGGCACGCATGTTGCATTTCACCTGTAACATCGTCAACACCCCACCGTCATCAACCGTCCTGGTGCCCAGTGTGGCTTTGCGTTCGAAGAGGAATATCATTCCCTCGCGCTTGGCCTTGAAGGCTGTGCAAAACATACCTGGGACCCCCGTTATCAGAACCGGCGTTTCACTATTCCGTTGACAGGCCCGTGCTAAGAATGTACCTGGCCTCTTGGAAATCAGGTCACGTTACATTGTAATCCGGATCGTGGTTACCAAACTCCCCTGGGATCGCCGCGGCGGCCGCCGCTGCACTCTCAACACAAGAACTTGCGAGGCGAACAGCGGGTTCCGCTACCATGAAAGTCTGGTTGAAACCTTCTCAGTTGAAGGCAGTAGCACTTGAACCAAACAGTTGCGACCCAGCATTTACATGCAACACTGGAATGCCTGAACGGCGTTGCTCACCCAGTCGCATCGCCATGTTCTCAAACCTCACCCTCCTCCTCGTCCACCTCCCCCTCCTCCTCCTCCTCCTCCTCCTCCTCCTCATCCTCATCATCATCATCATCAACATCATCATCACCCTCGTCATCATCATCATCATCATCATCATCATCATCATCATCATCATCATCATCAGCATCATCAGCAGCATCATCAGCATCATCAGCATCATCAGCATCAGCATCATCAGCATCATTATTATCAGCATCATCACCATCATCATCAGCATCATCATCCTTGTCCAGCTCCTCATCCTCCTCCTCCTCATCCTCCTCTTCCTCCTCCTCGTCCTCGTCCTCGTCCTCGTCCTCGACCTCGACCTCGACCTCTTCCTCCTCCTCCACCTCCCCCTCCTCCTCCATCCTCCCCCTTTTGGGCTGCGACGGCTTTCCCAGCCCGCTATTACACTAAATACTCCTCCCGCATGTCTGATCAGGGCAACTCGCCCGGACATCGTGTCTGGATGGGCTGGTGAGTTTACGCGAAGCAACTAGAAACCGTTGGCAACCAGAGTGCGATAGGAGGAGGAGGAGGATGAGGAGGAGGAATAATAGAGGAGGGGGAGGAGGAGGAGGAGGAGGGGGAGGAGGAGGAGCAGGAGGAGCAGGAGCAGGCAAACGAGGTGGACGAGGAGGACGAGGAGGAGGAGGAAGAGGAGGAGGCGAAGGAGGCAGGGGAAGGCTGCACAGGAGGAATGGAGGAGGAGAGGGAGGAGGAGGAGGAGGAGGAGGAGGAGGAGGAGGAGGAGCAGGAGGAGGCGAACGAGGAGGACGAGGAGGAGGAGGAGGAGGAGGAAAAGGCCGAGGCAAAGGAGGCAGGGGAAAGCTGCACGAGGCCTCTGGCTCGGCGGCACCAGCCTCCTCGGGCTCGGCGTCCCCCTCGGGTTCGGCGTCCCCCTGCGGCTCGGCGGCCGCGGCCGCGGGCTTGCCGTCCTGAAGAAGATTGTGGGGCGGCCGCGCTCTTCATCCGCCGTCCCTCCCTCCCACCCCTCCCGCCTCCCTCCCTCCTTCTTCCTCCTTCCTCCTTATTCCTTTCCTCATCCCTCCTCCCACCCCTCCTCCTCCTCCTCCTCCTCCTCCTCCTCCTCCTCCTCCTCCTCCTCCTCCTCCTCCTCCTTTTCTTCCTCCTTTTCCTCCTACTCCCCGACCTGCCCCTCCCTCAACTCCCTCCCCATACGCTCTCCCTCCATTCCACCGCATACGTCCCTCCCTCCCACTCTCTTCATTCCCTCCCTCCTCCGCCCCTCCCTCATCGCCACCCTCCTGTCTCTCCCCCCTCCCTCCACGTTCCCCCTCCCACCCCTTTGATCCTCCACCGTGTGGGGTACGATGGCTTTCCCAGCCCGCTGTTCCACTGCATGTCTCTCAGCATGTCTGATCAGGGCAACTCGCCCGGGCATCGTTTCTGGATGGGCTGGTGAGGTTACGTGAAGCATCTAGGTAGAACTCGTTGGTAACCAGAGCGTGGGAGAAGGATGAGGAGGGGGAGGAGGAGAATGAGCAGGAGGAGCAGGAGGAGGCGAACGAGGTGGACGAGGAGGAGGACGAAGAGGATAAAAAGAGGCCGTCGCGAAGGAGGCAGGGGAAAGCTGCACGAGGCCTCTGGCTCGGCGGCACCAGCCCCATCGGGCTCGGCGTCCCCCTGCGGCTCGGCGGCCGCGGCCGCGGGCTTGCCGTCCTGAAAGGGAAAAATATGACAGCCGCGATCTTCCCCCGCCCCTCCCTCCCACCCCTCCCTCCTCCCTCCCTCTTCCTCCTTCTTCCTTCCTCCGTCCTCCCTCCTCCTTCCTCCTACCTCCGGCGCAGCAGGACTGGGAGGCGGCCTGCGCCAAGCAGGTCAAGGCCAAAGCGGCGCCGCCGTCAACGGCGCCACCCTCTTCTTCGGCGATCAACCTTTCGACGCTCGTCGACGAGGGCTCGCTTCAGATCGTGGACGGGCCGCTGTTCGACCTCTCTGGCCTGGAGCTCGACGAGCAGGCGCGCGTGGACTGGGAGCGCATCAAGCAGGAGCTGGCCGACAGCGTCCAGACCAAGGTCCAGGAAGTCCTCGGACCCTCGGCGCAGCGCATCCTGGAGCTTCGTGAGGAGGCTCGCAAGCTGCGCGCCAGGGAGGAGGCCAAGCGCAGGCGCGTGGACGGCAGCGATGCGGCTGGCTCTGCTGCTGGCCCCGCTGCTGCTGCTGCAACTGACGGGGCTGGGCCTGCTGGCGCCGCTGCGGCAGCAGGTGCTCCAGCTGGGGCTGAGGCCATGCGCGCTGCTGCCAGAGCCAAGGCCAAGTCGGCCCAGGATGAGCTCTACGCTCAGCAGGAGGCCGCTTCCTCCTCCGCAGAGGCCGCTCCTAGCGCTCCTGGCACCGCCCCCTCCCCTGCAGCATCAGGGGCTCCGTCCACAGCCTAACGCAGATAGAGGGGCGCCGCGCCGAGTTTTGTCGGCATGTTGTTACGGCGGGCGCCCCTGGCCATACCCAGTCGAGTTCTTCCTCGACTCGGATGAGGAGCGCGCTTTTGGAAGCGAGACAACTACAGCACCGTTGGAGGTGAGCAGTTCGCCGACCGCGGCGCCTGGCTCGGCGTCACGGGCACCGCAGGCGAGACGTTCGTCGCGTTCTGCGTCGCGCGGAGCTACGCCATCCCCGAGTGCGAGGAATTCGGCTACTCGCACTTCTCCGGGCGTATCGGGTCAAGCCTCGCTGACGGGTGCGCTTGGCGGGCTGGCGTATGCTGCCCTTAATGACAGCCCTCCCCCGAGGGCTGCGCCTCGCGCATCTACGGGACCGCAGGCCTCTGCCCCTTCCTGTACGACGGCGCACCTGTACGACGCCGAGCTGGATCCGTTCGAGGAGCTGGAGCTGGAGGAGGTCAACGAGCGTTTCCACCAGGACTCGCCGTTCGAGGCGGAGGTCGGCCCCTCGCCACCTGGCGTCACCGCCAGGCCTTCTGAGGCTAGGGCGGACCAGGCTGCCTCCAGCAGCGGCCCTACTTGCCTTGAGGCTGACCTCAGCGCACCAGCAGCGCAGGCTTTGGCCGCTCCAGCCCCCTCCAAGCTCACATCCGACGAGAAAGATTTCTCGATCCTTTACGGTAACATCACTGAGTGGGGGCCTCAAGCGCAGCGCTATGTCAACACAGCCCCTTACTCTGTGTTTTGTCTGGTGGAGACTCATGTCACCGCCGCCACGTTCCACTCCAAAACGGAGATCGAACTGGACAAAGACGGTTGGAAGGTCTGCGCCACAGGGAACACACCAACAGGACGAGGAGGCTCTTCTGGCGGTGAATGGGTCATGGCCAAGAAGCATCTGGCCACCACCTCGCTACAGGCCAGTCGGCAATATGCACAAGCTGCACGCCAACCTGATCCTATGCGCGGGTTCGCCGCCATGATCTTGCACTTGTCCTCGGGCAACCTGGTCTTGGTATCAGTTTATCTTTGGCCAGGACTGGGAGTTTCTGGCAGAAATCGCCAAGTGCTGGTTGCGTTAGCCTCCTTCCTTCATGGGCTTGCAGACCCTTGGTTGGTTATCGGTGACTGGAATATTTCACCAACTTCCTTGGAAGGATCTGGCTGGCCTGAAAAAATTGGGGGCACACTCATTCTACCCGCTGACGTCAGCACCACGTGCGACAAAGGGCAGGAGGGCTCTCTCATTGATTTCGCAATGGCCAAGAACGGAACATCTTCCAGATACCGAGTTCGGTCGCAGCCTCAGGTCCCGTGGAAGACGCACTGTGCACTGCAGGTTGACGTCCACGATGGCATGCGCAGATGGTGGTACCAGAAACTTTTGTTACCTGAACCGTTTCCAAAGGTAGCCAGACCCAAGCTCGCTTCGGACCCCAGCAGCAAGAGGTCTATACTTCGAGCCCAACGGCAAGAGCAAGAACGGGCACGCGTACCACCCGATCTGCTGGAAGACTACGACGCACTACACCCTTCAAGGAGTACTTTGGATCCTGAGTCCCAGGTCTCTTTTCACATACCTTCAGACCTGTGGGAAGAGCAGCCCTCCAAGGAGAGGCTCAGCTCTCAATGTTGCAGCGTGGTCGAGTCTGAGTTGTTGGGCCATATCAACGCACTTGGCATTGGTGCCGTCACCAGGCAGTACGCGCGGTGGTCCTCAGGAGTGGAACGTGCGTTCGCACTTCATCATCAGCTCAACCTTCGACAGCGGGCCCCACGCGCAGCTGGTTCTTCTTTACGATGGATGCAGACCAAAGCTACCCCAGGGCGAGTGCACATGACTGATGGAGCTGGAGAATGGTGGGGAACTGTTCTTACCTTGGTTCAAAGAATCATGGCTCTTCTACGACATGGCAAGGATCCTCGCCAGATAGCGATGTGTACCGCAGCTCTTGGTCGCTACACCAACGACGCTAGCAGCTTCGACCCATCTGATTTCTTTGGTCCAGGCTCTGAGGGCACCGCTAATCAGCAGCGGTGGATTTCTTGGTCGCGCGCATTCGCGAGCGCCACTGAGATGGAGCGCGACGATTTTGCCTACTGAGAAGCTGGCCTGTCGTTCTCAGGCAAGATGCTTGACCTTGAGGCGGCATTCGTTCATCCGTTGGGCCAAGGGAGTTTGGACATCTAAGCCCGGCCTGCTCCACTCATTGGTGAAGGAACCCAAGGCGGTCTCTGCCGACCCCTTAGTGGATGGGCGAGTCGTTGGAGACCCAACTGTCAGAATGGAACACACCAGATCCACCTGGGAGAGACTCTGGCACGACCCAGTCGACTCTCAGGCCGACATCCTCGCCATGTTCAAGCGCCTGCACGCGCAGAGCCGCGAGGAGGAGCTGGATCCCGTCAGCATCGAGCAGGTGGACAATGTTATCAGGGTTTTAGGCACCAAGGCATGCGGAGTTGACTCCATCACACCTCTGGACATCCAGCGACTTCCACTCGAAGGTCGGTGTGATTACTGCAGGCTTCTCAACAGCATTGAAGAACATGGAGTTTGGCCTGCTCAGATCTTGGCATCTATTGGAGCATTATTACCCAAACCCAAAGGAGGAGAGAGGGTCATTGGATTACTTCCAGAGACGGCGAAGATTTGGTCCCGCGTGAGAGCAGGCGTCACGTCCACATGGACTAAGGAGCTCTCTGATTTCTGGGACACTGCAGTGGCGGGCAGCAGCTCGCTTCGAGCAGGTCTCTTGCGAGCGCTGCTCGATGAATCCGCAGTGGCGCTTGGCATCTCGGCGGCGACCCTACTCCTGGACTTCGAGAAGTTCTACGACTCGTTATCCTGGATCCTCATCGGCCAGGCTGCACTCGATCTCAAGTTCCCAGCGATTGTGGTGCTACTGGAGCTGGAGATGTGTGCTGGGCCGCGGTTCTTGCGTGGCTCTCTTGGCGTTTCAGACGCCATCTACGCCACCAGATCACTCGTTGCAGGATCCCCGCATGGGGTAAGGATTGCCAAGTTGTTTTTACATCCATTGATGGAGGCGGCACATCGCAGAGCGAGTTTCAGCACCTTCTGGACATTCATCGACGACACGGTTGCCCGCGCAGAGGGCACGCAGGTCAAGGTCCAAACAGAGATCCTTCACGCCACGGTCACTCTTGCCGACCTCGCCAAGCAATTCCGTCTTAAGCTTTCGGACAAGTCTGTACTCATTGCCACTGTTCCGCAGGACGGGAGGAGGACAGCCGCTCAGTTGCAGAAGCGAGGTATCCCTGTACGGTTCGGCCTTCACGGCACGGATCTTGGCATTGATGCGGCATCTGGCAAACGGCGCACAGTCACTAAGGCCAGAATGAGGTTGACCGCCAGCAAGAGGAGGGCGGCTCGCATTGCCCGCATACGCAGACATGCTCCTCTACGACGCGAAGCTCAAGGTCTTTGGACCACAGGCGCAGCTCCTCAAGGCTCCTACGGACACCAGGCCCATGGCATGTCGCCGTCCAACGTCCTCGCCGTCAGGCGGCAGGCAGCCGTGGCGGGAGCTGGGCCCATGAAGGGCAGGTGTCTTACGACAACACTGGCGGTCCTTTACGGTCTCAAGGATCCAGCCCTGGAGTTACGTCGAGGCCTTCTTTCAGAATTTCTCTGTCTCTGGAAGACCGACACCAGCATTCACCATCGAGTTGAAAATGATTGGACTGTCATTCATCGGCGGCTTCTCGCAGCTGGCGCCAGCAAGAGATGGAGACTGGTCAAAGGACCTATTGGAGCTGTTATTGCGACCCTGCTTGACGCGGGATGGGAAGTACCCTCGGTCCTCCGTTGGAGGAGACCCACTGTCGGAGGAATCGAGGAGTGGCTGATTCCAACCGCACGTCGTGCAGGCTACGACCCCACTGGATTCGACATCTCCGAGCTACTGGACGACGTGGACACTGATTTTCGCGCTCAACTTTGGAGCAATGCTTCGAAGCACATTGCAGGGGATGGCCTGGCTGAGGGAGCTGACCTCTATTGGGCCAGGCTGGAGCTCAGCCACTTCGCCAAGAGGGGGGAGCTCGACCTGTTCGGCCTCAATTTGTGCGTGGTCACGGGCGCCCAGTGGACGATGGACAGGCAGCACCCTCTGAGCGAGCCCGCAGACCGCCTGTGTCCGCGATGCCAGCAGGAGGAAGAAACTCTTGCGCATCGCATTTGGCGTTGCCCCTGCAATAAAGACCACAGTGATTTTACGTCTACTGATCATTTGATTCCGCAAGCGTTAGCGT